TGTTAAATGTATGTTTGTACGTCTTGCTAAAATTATCCAATAAAATARGCAAAAATTTTTACTTTTATTGAATAAAATATTTTCAAAAAAGGTAACTCAGTGTTAATAGATACTTTTTAAAAAAGAATTCATAATTGAGAAGATTTTAGACTATCTGAAGCTAATGACTGAGTTTTTAAATTATTAATATTCATAAATGTTCGTATTTGACTTATAATATAGATGAACAAGCGATAGAGATAGAGATGAGATTATATTATGGTGTGGATAATAAAATAGACCGTTATAAAGATTAATTGTATTATCTTATTTGTACAAAAAGATAAACTCTATGCATATACAAATTATACATTGTATTATATTACATTTTATTTTATAATTTTATAGTMTTTCTTTTCTGTACTTACTAATTAATTAATTATATTTTTTATTTAGATCTCAAGGATWGCAGATACCGTAAGCTATTAAAATGGAGAGCAGAACGTGATAGACTTAAAAAAATGGAACAGACAAAGAAAAAACCTGCTTTCAAAGTAGGCGTAGTCCATCATAATTACTACTCTCCTCCGATAAAAGTTTCTAATGTACTATCTCCTATTAAATTATCTATAAATAGTCAAAAACAAGTTACACAAYCTACATTACCATCGAAAAGAATAACCAGAGCTACTGAAAAACGTTTTCTTAGGAAACAAGAGAAATTGACTACCGAAGTACCACBAAAACAAAATGTTACAGAAAAAAAACAAGAGAAATCTGAAGGAAAAAATAAAAGAAAAARTAACGTTAAAACTGAACAAAAATCTTTTGCACCTGGTAATTATACATTTACTGCTCCAAGCGGTATAACAAGTATGCCTTTATTTGGTCGTGTGAATATAATACTTACACCTGTAAAAGATTCAAAATCAATTAAAAATAAGACTAAAGAAGAGATATCTTTGTTGAATAAAAAGTCAGAATCATTAGATCAAGAATGTAATAAAAAAACTGATATAAATGATAAAATGCCTAGTACTAGCATAATAAACAATTCAATAGAAACATTAAAAAATAATCGTGAAATGACATTTGATTTTCTTGACAAAGAAAGAGAATTTCTTAGAAATAGTACTTTTTCCGATGATAGTAATCATTCAAAAATTATACTGTCGCCTGGCAATATTTCACCCATCATGACAGAAAAAGAAACACACGAAAATTCAAAYARTAAAATTAAAACTTCTTTTTCAAMAAATATTTCTAAGGAAAAAGTTATAAACGAATCCCCTAAAAATATAAATAGCAATTCAAGTAAAGAAACACCTCCTTCAACAAAGGATAATGCTAATTTATGTAAGGATCCAGCATACTTTTCACCATACATAGTATCAAGWCGAGGTAAAAGTAATGCTAGAAAGGAACAACAATTACGTCGTGGTATTGGTTCTCCAGATGATAGTATTCCTACTAAAGAAACAGTTATGCAAACTCTTAACTTATCGATTGAAGATGAAGAACGTACTGCGCAATATTTTGCTTTCCTATTAAAA